CTAGTTGTAGTGTTTGAATTGTTGGAAGAAATGGTCGCATGGGGATGTAGGAATGGTAGGTTAACGAACAATTTCAAATTTTGCCCCTTGAATTGAAAGTGAAGTTCATTTGAATGCTTTCGTATGTATTTTTGACGGTTTTAGATCTACCTGCTCGATTTATATCTGCTACGCTCCATGTTGACAAGCGGTGTATGACATTTGCAGACTGCAGACCGCAGACTGCAGACTGCAGACTGCAGACCGCAGACCGCAGACCGCAGACTGCAGACTGCAGACTGCAGACTGCAGATCGCAGACTGCATGAGGCAGCAAGACTGTAAATTGAATGAAACCAAAAATATCGTAGTCAAGGTGACGTCATCATCAACATTACCTTGTTCAGAGAAGTACATGTAAGGCCTAGAAGCTTTTTCACGCAAATTACACCGACCTGATTCCTGAAGGAATTGTTGGCCGTTCGTCTCGTATTGAATTAGAGCAGAATAATGTCTGCCGATGTCACAAACTGGCCCATGAATCCATAGCAACAGGCTAGCAATTTAGCCTGCACCACAGACGAAACTAAACTCTGGTTATATAAGTCTGTCTGTGAAACAGTGCCGGAATCCTTATTCTACCGGGGCCCCAACTGTGTACTAGGATTTGAGCATGAGTAATTATGATTGGCCTGTTAAAAAAGCCATTGTTGATTTGCCTATTTAGAAATTCAAAATGCACTTCCGGTAATTCGTCGAGTCCAGGTAGGAACTGTTCGGTTTAGATTGTCTGGCATATCCTTAAATACTGCTAAGATGAAATACGCAATTTAAAAGGTGTTAAATGTCCGTGATCTATCCTAGTTGTTTTTGTAGACGTAACTGTAGTGGCCACGAAGTGCTCGTAATCTAAACGCTTTTTTTTACAGAAGACTACCATTTAGACAGGCATTAATGGGCATTGCTACTTGTCATTATCAATTCGCAATAATCAAAGAAAAATAAAGAACCAACACAATTAGTGATATGCCGGGTGAGTCAATAAAAAGTCGCATCGGTGCAGAATAGCCAACAGCATCTTGGAAATGAGGCCAATGTAACTTTGCGCAAAAACATCAACCTTGTTCCCAGGCTACTTTCTCACTTTCACGCGATGTTACATTTTTGATGGTGTCACCTTTATTAGGAAAATTTTTGGTGTCTTTTAATTTACAATCTGCAATCTATGGTCTGCAGTCTGCGGTCTGCGGTCTGCGGTCTGCAGTCTGCAGTCTGCAGTCTGCAGTCTGCAGTCTGCAGTCTGCGGTCTGCGGTCTGCAGTCTGCAGTCTGCAGTCGGTAGTCTGCGGTCTGCAGTCTGCAGTCTGCAGTCTGCGGTCTGCAAATGTCATACACCGGTTGACAAGTCCCTCAAAATGGCGGCAAAACTTGAAGATTGCCGAAAATTAGGTAAGTTCACGGAGTTATAAAGGCTTAGAAAAGGTCGGGCCGCAAAGTTTTTTCGGTAGTTACCTTTTCTATGGCACCTACTTCCTAGCTATATTAGTTAGATCAGTTAAGAACGCGTCACTTTTTCAAAAATGTACCTTGAATTTGATCGGTTTTCGCGTGTGTAACTTAAGGGAACCGATAAGGTGTGGTTCAAGTCTTCCTGTTTGCTCGATTGAAACGTGATGTTCACGAAAGTCGCCCTCGATGGATAAGATAGAGTTGATATACATGTCTGTGGTATTTGTTTTTTTGCTGAGTCCCGTAGCCTTCGCTCGAGTGAAATTTAATTTCCGTAAAACTCTGAAAAATAAAGAGATCCGATCAAACGGATTGTGGTTTTAGTATAGGTACATGAATGTCTTACAACACACAAGAAATGAGCTAAATCAGTGTCTCAAGAAAAATCGACCGCACCGCCCTTACAGAGACACTCTCTTAAGGTTTGCTTCCGTCGTGAACATTTACGTAATAACCCCTTAAAAATCATCCCTGACAAATGTTTTCCTTTCAGTTTTGATGAAAAGGAAAAATGGCATTTTTTTCCTGGTTGAGGAAGACTTTGTCTATGAACACTTGTGTTTTTTCTTTGCAGATTACGCGGAAGCGGTAAAGTTTTTCAAGTCCGTAGATAACTGAAACTCAAAAGGAATGGTTTTCCTTGTTAAGTTTGTTCACTTTTTGTATATTTCTTCATAATTCAAGCTTATAAGCAGACTTCTGGCATATTGTAGGGGATAATACTTTCGAGTTCTGCTGAAACCGAATGGACTGAGTATGGTGAACAATCACGTGACTCAACGAACACTTTCCAAATGATGATGAGCGATCCCGTGGCAATATGAACTTTTTATTTTAACTGTAACCTACCGTTCAAATGAAATTTTGTGCGCGGTAATCGACCAATCAAAGGTTGAATTGAAGCGTGCGGCCGGTGTTAAGCGTGGGAAACGCACCCTAATTAGACAACTGCGTTATTCACGATTGTTTTGCGTTTGCCTCTGACTGGCTTAGAAAAACGTGCTTGGACAAAGTGCAAAGGGACAATACACGACTAACAAGATTTCTTTTTGCAATTCGTTACAAAGCTCATTAAAGCAGCAGGAAAAAGGCAGCTGTGATGGTTAAACAGGTTATGTCGGGTTGAAACTGGCGTTAGCGACCATTTGGTCTCGATTTACAGCGTCTTAATAGGTATCTTTCAGCTACAGGTTAGTTCCGCCGTGTGTATTTATATCTTTGGAGAAATCAGCTATTAGAATAATTGCGATACCGTAAATGACCTAAAAAACGCCCGGGGCGTCTATTTAATTTTAGGTGTTCAAGCGAAGGGCGTTTAATAGATAGAAGGCGTTTAAAAGAGAGAGGCGTTTATTCTCATGACAGTAACAAGCTCAACAAAACTAAAATGCTTTCGGCGAAAACATCAAGAGAGTTTTAAAACAGCGGAATATCTACTCCATCTTGACTCCATCCATTGATACTTCTAGGTCTTCTAGAGATCCGAGTCGCCCTTTCAAATGGCCAACATTGATGTCAGAATCCTCGCTCATTGTTATTGTGTTGCCATCGTTAATTAATTATTGTAATTATTGTATTTAAATCTAATTTCATGAAGTCCAGTGGCGCAGTTTATGGAGCTAGTTTATGCACGTTTGTATTAAGATTTGACTGAGACACTGATCTGACCTCGTATGAGGTTTGATATAAGCTTAAGCTTACAGAACTTTAAAAAGCCTTTAGCCGATATTAATTCACCGTAAATAGAAAGAAAAAACTTTCCGAAGAATATTTAGTTATAATTTTGGCTGTAGAAAGAAAGCTTTGAACGATTTTCTTGTCGTGAGTTCATCTTTGAAAACAGCCAACACCGGGAAACCGGTGGCTCAAAACATGAACTTTAAGCTTACTAGTAAAGACTTGAGGATTCTTAGACAGCCTTAAATACTCATTTGTTTTCGTGAATGAAAATAAAATTGTTGTCTCTGTAGATGTTCTATCGAATTATTTTTCTTTATTGTTTTTTGGTAGTCTCAAAAGTGTAATTTTCATCGCTTTGCCGTTTGTTTTCAGCCGTTCATAAACATCGCTTGCAGGAGTACTCAAAATGCCAAGCGTATCAAACGCTTTTTAAGATTACACATCGTTATAAAACCGTTAATAAAAAATAGACTCAATAAATTCTTTATCACGTTGAAGCGTAAGTCTTTTAAAATTTCTTCGCAAATTTGGCGCTTGTCAAAAGTTAGAACCGGCCGGCCGTATAGGTGATTTTGGAACTTTTTTGAACGGTTTCGCTAATTAAAAGTCCACGCGTGCTTCGATGGTCCTGAATATTGAATGAATGCTATTTGTCTTGAAAAATTGTGAAATGCTGCACTTTGTACGAGGTCTGTATGATAAAAACAGCGCCTCATAGTACTCTTTCTCCTCAGATGTGGTGTATAAAAAAAATAAAAGATTGGTTTACACGCACCCAGATTTATTGGCAAGAATTTGTAAACTTGTCGAACGCAAAAAAATTCGGTCTGATTTGTTTTCCAAGAATTTGTTTTCCACGCCTTATCTACTGTGATCAAGAGCCATCATTGCTCCTAAATGTGGCCGAAGACTATTTTTTGGGTGTACGTATAAGGCTATATCAACTCGATACAAAATTTGTTTCATTCCAAAATCACTTAGCTTTTCCCTCAAAAGTCACACGAATGTGCCCTTAAGTTAACTGATTTGTGGAATACAAAATTATTGTTTGATTTTTAAGTTATAAATTTATCAATGAGAGCTTCGCTTTTAGCTGTGGCTAAATATATATATATATATTAGATAAGAGGCGTTTATTTGGAAGTGGGCGTTTATTAGGTCATTTACGGCACCAAACATTATTGAGATTCTCAAAAAAACTAAATTAACGGTTTCCTTTGACTGTTTCCTTAGAAATAGAAGCTATTCCCTTTTCTAGAACCCAAGGCCTTCCTCAACCTTATGGGCCTTTGCTCCTATTCAACAACGTCAGCCTCCAATAGTAAACTATATGCCTACAACACGACAATGGGAAATTCAAAATTCAATGTTTGGGACGCCAGTAGATTGTTTTTTTTTTTCTCCGACTTTTAAGGGCTCAAAGCATGGTTCGAGTTATCGAGGGTAAAATTATATAGAAATGATCTGAGGGGAAACAAAAACTACTTCGAGTTAGAGGGAGGTTCGAGTTATCGAGGGTTCGAGTTACCGAGGGTAAAATTACAGTATCTGTATGACCGAAATCCAGGGGAAATCCATTTTGGTTCGAGTTAGCGGGAGGATCGAGTTAGCGAGGGTTCGAAATATCGGGAGTCAACTGTTGTATTGATACTCTTGGCAAGAGTCAAACTTCAAGGCAAACATGCCAACAACAAAATATTTTACTGCATGACAAAATTCCTCAAAACAGTTAAAACTGACCAACTGAATACTTCACAACATTTGGTAACACTAGTGCTACTTAAAGGCGTCAGTTTTACTCCTTATAAATCGTTATTGAAGGATAACTTACGGCCTTTTTACAAATGTACCTCTTTTTGTTTTGGCACTTTCCATCGCGCCAATGCCCGTCATAATAGTTTCCAGACTCAAATGTCCCTTTTCTTATTTGTCCGCAATTCAAGTTCTGAGCATTCGGCTTGCCATCTCTCCAGTTTTCATACCCATTTAGCTGAGTTCCGTCACTCCATTGCCAGAAACCTGTCCCGAATTTAAATAGTCCAATCCAGTAGGCTGTAGGTCTCTCTGCCAACGATTCTCTTCTAATAAAATCATTTTCTTCAGGAGATTCTATCTTTACCAATCTGGCATACCATTTATTTTTGCATTCGTTGCTGGCGTTTTCCCAACTCAATTTAGGTGACGTAAAGAATTTATAACACGACTTCCCGCGGCCAATCCATTCGGGTTCACAAGCTGCGTGAAGAAAAAATATATTATAATAAAGCCTATTAAATTGACGTAAATGTCCTAGAACCCGGGGTAGTCAATCGATAACAATCGTTATCGATAAAAATCGGTAGCAATCAAGTGATTTTTATCGAAGGGAAATCGGTGAAAATCGATGAACTAAATTGCTGTGTCAAATCGATATTTCATTATTTTAACGATAACGGGAGTCCGCTATTGTCGTCCTCTGGCATGAGTTAGATAGTACAGCTGAGAAATCAGATCCACGAGGAATAACAGATCAAAAAACATGAAAATGAGAAATGTGGAAACTATTACACAAACAAGTTTCTATCTAAAACTCTTCGTTTTGTACATGATAACAACAACGGTTCAGTTTTTTATATAATCCCATTCAGTTCTCGCAGGCAGTATTACGAGGAATACAACCTTAGTAAACATTTCCTAGCCTGAATTTCAGACATCCCCTCGAGTCGAAGGGATGTCTGAAATTCATTCATAGATTTCTCCGGATATATTTTTGCCGTTTCCGTTATCAGTCGATAGAAATCACTTGATTACTAACGATTTTTATTGATTTCGATTTTCATCTATTGAAACAAGTGTCGCTATTTTTTTTGTAGTGTTTTTATTTTTTTGTAGTGAAATTTACCAGGTTAATAAGTGCGAAAGACGGGCTTTGTACTTATTAAACTGACTCGACCCAGTTATTTTGTGAGGGTACCATCCTACTTTGAAGCTCTCTGGTATCTCCACCTTTACTTTTATCGTAAGTCTAACATGTAGCATGGATAACATATGGATCAATCTACAATATAGCATAAAATTTTTGGCGATTGGAGTAAATGTCACGTGGCTATAGTGCTACGCCTCTTTGGCAGTGGGTGCGAAACCCCCCCGCCCCCCATCCCCCGAGATGACCTGCGGTTTTCTAATACAACTGGTATGCTGCAAAAAAAAAAAACAACAAAAAAAAAAAACTATGTGGTTTATTGGTGTTGAAGTAGAGCAAGAGACGAGTCCACCCCCTCCCGAAAAAAAATCCTGGATCCGCCCCTGTTTGGGGTCGGAGTCGAAATTCTGCTGTTGCTGGCATTTTTTCGTGAAAATCTCTCGGCTACGTAGTTCCTTGCATTAGTTCCTTGCGTTGAACAGAGTTTCACCAAAATCACACAGACCCAATGCGAGAAATTCAGCAGTCTCCAAATTTAGGTCATAATTTATGTGAAAATGCTAAGCAAACTTTACACGATTATATCTAATAAACTATGAGATTTATCCCTTTATTTTGGGGATCTTTATAACAGATGGGTCCTTGCAAGTCAGCAAAAAGCTTTAGGGCCTTGTAAATGCGCGCGATTTCGAGCAATGCAAACATATAGAAATTAAAGTTTTAGCTATTTGATGACGTTTGTCAGCGTTAAAGAGTCCTCACGAAAAAAGCATTTCCTTAAAAAATCGTAGTTTTCTTTTTTTCCTTCAAACTTTTTCAGGGCCACAATTGATTTACTAACTACCCGGATTCTGAATTTCATGGTCATTGAAAAACTGTGACATTAATAACTGCGTTTGACAGGCTTTGTAGTTAATAATCGTGAAATTTACGATTAATTACTATGTTTGGCAGGCTTTGTAGCTACTAATCGTAAGGTCGTCAATTTCTCCAGAAAAGATAACTCAAAAGCTAAAGGCCACCCTTACTAAATTGAAAAGAAAACAAACTCAAACTCATTTCTTGAAGGTGCTTGTTTCCACAAAAATACATCGCAAAAATCTTTTCGAGAGGTCAAAGTTTCCATTCAGTGTGTTTTTTGATCGATTTTTTGTCTACAAAAGCTGGTTTCTTTCTTCTTTTTTCCCGATAAACAGACATCGCAAGCAGGTGGCCTCGGTGAGTCGTACGTTTGTGCATGAAATTATGTTCATAGGATAAGCGAGTGAAATTTTAAAATCCACATTTTTCCGGAATTCAAATTACTCTTCCATTCAGAAAAAGAAATTTGGAAAGAGACATCTTAATCCTTCCCAAATGTAACGAAAATGAATTTGAGCAGAAAAATTCTCTATCGCAATCTTTTTCTGGCTTAAATATCGACATAATTTCAGCGCGCTGTTGGTAACCAGGCGTGGAATTACCCTTGCCGTGAGAAATTTTATTATCGATGTTAACCACATTCCTGGACAAAATAATGGTTTTCAATTTTAGTTTAATAAAAAGCTTTCAAGTCGGCCGGTATTCAGATTGAAGCACCAACAAATTGTATTTTGACATTCAGCCAGAAAAAACGAAAATGGACCGTCTTAAGAGGCTCTGCGCCTAAGAAACGACCAATGATTTCCGGCTAAAAAGTAAACTCGGCCGATTTTTATCTCCCAAGTAGAGGTTACCGAATACTATTCAAAAATGAATTTCTTTTGTTTCAGTTTCGCTTTAAACCAAAAATATGGAGCCGCAAACTTTTTCCGTCTGATAGCAGCAAAATCAGGCCTAAAATGAGCCCTCGCAAAAAACGGTTCAGAAATCACTATCGCAACGAAAAATAGCGAGAAAACCACACAGTGATGAAGAAAAAGGCCTTTTAATGCAATACCATTCGATAAACATCGAAAAACTGCCGAAGGGAATAAAAAAAAAAATTTCAAATATTGCATATTAAATTAGATGGAGCGTTGGAGCTGATTTTAAAATAATTATTTCTCAAAAGTCCAACGCTGTTGAAAGCAATCACAGTGATGAATCAGACATTGGAGGGATATACATTACGATTCTGGAAAAACATTTTTCGGCCAAAGCATATTGACGTTGTACAAAGCGTTCAAAGTTGCAGTGTTTACCGTTATCTTGCTACTTCGGCGAAACACTTCTCTGTTGCCAATACGGCCGTGGATAGCGTGGTAAACGCCACTTTAATCCTTGCTAGGTGCTCAGAGACCATCCTAAGTAGAAGGACGTAGAATTAAAAGAGAAAGGAAGATGAAAAATACGCAGAAAAAGAAAATAACTCGAAATTACCATCTGCTGACGAAACTTGAATCTGGAAAATGTCGTCGCGTGACAGCGGCCAATGACGTCATTTGTCTAAACTGCGGCTGAATCTAAACGAATGCACAACTTTTTCCCGGTCAGAAAGCACTTAGTGAAACAATGTTACAGTAATGTTATTTTTTCACGAGCGATGGTGACTTAAAAAGAAAAAATTCCCGAACCGCCGCACCGTTTTGGCCTCAGCGTGATCTGATCGTTGTGGGGTCACGAGTCGACGCTTCTGGTCAGCGGTCTATTGAAAGAAATCTGACCCCATATGTTTTTTTTTTCGGGCTAGAATCATTCATGTCAATGTCCAATGTCTTCCTTCAAGGAAAAAAGGAGAGAGATATTGGAGTACTGTTGCTCCCGAGAACGAGGAACATCTTGGTCCCAAAAACTGAGTCCATTACGCCCAAGAATTACGGTTTTTTTTTTCTCAAAGGACTATTATCTGGCGCTTTAAAATGTAGCGAACAGATTCAATTCTTGGCACAATAGCCTCGCGTTTAGTATTTTCTTGGAGATGAAAATATCGGGGGTGACGCTATTCGGTGGAATGACGGACTGACGGAATGACGGAACGGAATGATGGAATACAGGGAATATTCTAAAATACGGAATATACGGAATACTCTAAAACGCAGAATAAGAGAAAAATCGTTTAAAAAGGGTATACATGTATACAGTCGACTCCAATAACTCGAACCCTCGCTACTGACTCGAACCTCGTGCTGACTCGAAGTAATACTAATTTTTGTTTCTCTTCAGATCATTTCTATATAATTTTACCCTCGTTAACTCGAACCATGTTTTAAGCGCGTGACAAGTAAAAGAATTGGCTTACCGTAATGATTCGATTTAGCGCCCAGGCGCTTATTTACTTTTGGTGCCTCTAGGGAGGACGCTTATTCGGGACAGGGCGCTTATTTCTTTTTTGAGAAACAGCCAAATGTTAAAAAAAGAACTTTGATATTTATTTAAAAACGAACAACATTTGAAACTGTAGCAGTAACAAATACTGACGGTGAATGCTCAGTTAACGCGGGGGACTTACCTTGAAACTGTTTGGGCACTTTGTCGATGGAACTTTCCTTCCTTATATTCACCTTTCTTAAAAAAGCTCGCAGTCAAAACAAAGTGCAAGTCGATTAAGGTAATGGATCAAGGAGACTGGAAAACGGACTTTTTGTCCCTGGATCCTTCCTCGCCAGAACGACCAGCCGAGCAATCTCCACAAAATTTGAAGAAGAGATCATTCCTTTGAAGACTTTGAAGACTCTGGAAAATCTAAAGCAAGCGACCGGACAAATTTAGGCACAGGTGCGGCCCCCATTAATTGGTAGTACAATCCTGTCAAGCTTAAGTTTACAATTCTTTTTTTTTAGAACAGCCGTTTTATGAAAGTTATCCGACATTAGATTCCCGTGATACCGGACCCTTCACCCGTCAAGATGGCTTTCAAAACCGTCATAAGGTCTATAGTGTGGCTTACGGCAGTATGAAAATTGAATTTTTAATATTGCCTCTGCTTTTTCGTCAGTCCAGTTCAAATCAAATACAGAATATTCTGTAAATTCCGTGTTTTAAGTATTACGTATATTCCGTATTTTACAACTGATTGCATGTATTCCGCCATTCCGCCGAATAGGGTCACCCAAATATTGGGGAGGACATCATAAAAAAATATAGGAGACCGGTAGGACTTTTAAATCGATGAAAGTGCCTCACAAATTTTGCAACTTCATTTTATAATATGCTTCATAATTTGTTTCCGCAATAATATTTATGATATTTAGATGATAACCAATGCACAACGCACAACTTGTCACATTACCGATTGGACAGCATACCATGCACTCAAACTCTTGCGCAGGAAAGTTACAGTATGAAATTATTTTTTGCTGCACTCAGTCACATTCACGGCTTTACACTAAAACCTTGGCTAAAAGGTCTCTTTTTAGATCTGTAGATTTGTAAGGTATTTCGAAATACCCGCGCATGTCTTTCACTAACATTGAAAGATGAAAGTTTGTTGCAGTGATAATTATGACAAAGATTGTAAACATCAAATATAATTGGATGTTTTAAGCCCAAATATTCTA